GTGGGGCAAATGAAAGGGGGGAGCCAAGGGGCTGGTATGTGTAAGCAAGGCAAGGAGGCAAGCGAGGGGGGGCGCTTGGAGGGGGGGGGTGGGGGGGGGGGGGGGGGGGGGGGGGGGGGGGGGGGGCGTTAAGTGAATAAAAAGATTACATTTGAAATGTGATAATAATACAAATGATTTTTCTTTTTGTTTCTTTTTTCTCTTATGATTAAATAGAAAAGGTAAAAAGTATGTTGAAACAAATTTTATGTCAAACATTTTCTAATCAATGTCAATTAAGTTCTCTTCAACTCGATATAGCAAAATTATCTTATGAAATTCATCAAGGTTTAAATTCACTTTCTTATGTTTCAACAAACAAAATTTCTAATGATTTTCAATCTTATTGTATAACTTTACGTTGTTTGTATATCCATCTTAACCACATATGTTTTCTTGAACATCTCATTGAATATGTACCCAATCTTGAACAATTATCGGTTCATTTTCGCAATTCATTAATCGATAAGTATTATCTTGATTCCAACATTAATATACCGAAACTATCAAATGAAAATTGGTTTAATAAAGTAAGATGATGCATATTAGATTATTTTAATTGTTTGTTCTTAATAAACTCTTTAATTAAATTTTATCTCATACATAAATATTAGTTCCTATTAAACTTTTCGATCCCGGCGGCCCCTTAAGGGATCAGTAAGCCAATAAGATTTAAAAAAAAACGGGATAAAAAATGCTAAGGTTCATTTTTCCATTTGAACAATTCTTCAAGGGTGGTACTATGGATAATGTCACTCCAATCAATACAATGAGTTTGTTATTAAATGAAGAAGTTTTTAAAAAAATGTAGATTTTCTTTATTAACATCATAATCGAGTAATATGAAAAATGTATGATTGTTAAACGAGGGTGACAGCTTGGATTCTCTTAGAATCTGATAGAGCCTGGAATGGATAGATCTAAAGGTAATAAGGTCCGACACAGTTTATTAGACTTACGTATGAACTGATCCTTATATGTTTATTATTTAAATTTGCGACCTGGATTCTTTCTTTCATTTGTCTTCACTACATCTTGATTTTACTCATTCGCTTACTTGTTTCGAGTATGTACACATATCAAAATTAATTGC